CTGCGGGAGAGAAAAACGGAATTATTAGTTCATCTCATACAATCAATATTTTTTCTGTATAATTATATGATGCTGCGATTTAATATAAAGAAAAGGAAAAAGGAAAAATTACGTCACATGTCATGTAACACTAATAGTAATTCCTTATGTAATATACGATATCTCATGTTTCTGAATAATGATCCACGACTTGTTATTCTGCTTACATGAATACAAGAACGGATTATATTTCTGAAAAAAAACACTCCTTACGATTACATTTCTAAAAAATGCACCCGCACTCTCAAACAAACAAAAACACATTTCACGACATACCCACAAACACACAAAGAAACACACCCACAAATAAAAACAAAAAACACACCAATCCCCAACACCCGACCGCAGCGACCCCCTCCCTCGGCCCGCACTTTGGCGCCCCAAGAAAAGCCCCGAAATCGAAAAGGAGCGAATTAGTCCTCCAGAATTCATCCTGATTGCAAATCCGCGCCGGCCCACTTGGCGCCTATTGATCCTCAACGAAGCGCGAGCCGCCAGGAACAATAGGCCTATTATACGCCACGGAGATCAAAATTCCTTCCGGTGTTATCAAAGTTTCGGCGCAATCAGGTAGCAGGAAGAGAGAGAAAAAACAAAAGACGATCGCCCACGCTTTGTCCGCTGAACAAAAGGCGAGGCGTTTCACAGCGTCGCTCACTTAACGCGCCACAATTTTATCAATATCAAAATATCTAAACGTACAAATTTCGCGACAATATCATTAATAGCATTATTGTTGTTATCATCACTGTCATTACCATAACCATCAACAATGCTCTTGCCTTATCAGTATTTCCATTATCATCATTATTATCATCGTAATCGTTTTTCCTTGTCATAATCTTAATTAATTAATAGCATGGACAATACCAGTACTTATTCCTATTATTTCAACAATATCAGCATTTAAACATATCATACTATCACTATCAAAATCATCATCATCCAATCATCCTCACTATCATAAGCACCATCCTCACTATCATAATCACCATTCAAATCCTTCACAATCAACCGTCCTCCCTTTTCCCCTTAAAGCCATCACCGCCGAGGCCAGTAATATCATCTGCAAGGCAGCTGCAACCGCCGGAGGTTTACCACATCCAACTGCAATTGCTCACAACCATGATAATAAAGCGAAGTCGTGCGCCAGCTTCCGCGCAGTTGCAGTGCAATATTACAAACTGCTATTCACCAGCTTACCGAATCAATTGCAATCGGTATTGTTTCTAGGTAGGGAATAAAAGTACGCGTCAACATATTAGGGATATTGCATGAACTGTTTTGGATGCATGGCCATATCACTAATGTTCCACGATTTCCCAGCCGTCATTCTCTCATACAAGAACCACGAAGTCTCTCCTTAATGAGATTTTAAAAAACTGTCTATCGGACTCCATCGGGGCCCCCGGGATTACGCGCACAAACGGCATTTTAATTTTCCTAAGTGTCCCCTGAAGATCACAATATGCGACTCTTCTTTTCTTTTTCTGTCCTTCTCACTCTCTCTCTCCCTCTCTCTTTCTCTCCTTCTCTCTCTCTCACTCTCACTCTCACTCTCACTCTCACTCTCACTCTCACTCTCACCCTCACTCTCACTCTCCCATTCCCACTCCCACTCTCCCTCCCCCACTCCCACTCCTACTCTCACTCTCCCTCCCCCGATCTCCCTCTCCCACTCCCTTCTCTCACTCCCACTCTCCCACTCCCACTCTCCCACTCTCCCTCTCCCTCTCCCACTCTCTCTCCCTCTCCCTCTCCCTCTCCCACTCACACTCCCACTCCCACTCCCACTCCCACTCCCACTCCCACTCTCCCTCTCCTTCTCTCACTCCCACTCTCCCTCTCCCACTCTCCCTCTCCCACTCTCCCTCTACCACTCCCTCTACCACTCTCCCACTCCCTCTCCCTCTCCCTCTCCCTCTCACTCTCCCTCTCCCTCTCCCTTTCCCTCTCTCTCTCACGCCGCTGTCACTCCCGGTGATCTCTCGAAGCTACGAAAGTTTTCTAAAGTTGTCTGAGTGCTTTCTTTGTCTTAAATTAATTTACGTATAACCGCATCTACGCTTAATATGATGCTTTGGTATATGTTCCTTGGGAAATAAAAGTCGGAATTCTGTAGGGTATATTGTAAACAACATGATTACTTCGATTAAATTTAGAACAAAAAAGCAGAATTTGTTTATTGTTAGTGGATACAGTTTTACACTTCTTAAGAATTTTATAATCTCGTTTTTTGGTATTCAAAAAATATTAACCTGAAAAACTTTTTGCGCGAAGTTTATGGAGCAGTTTTCAATCCAGTTGAGTTCCCCCTAAAATAACGTCAAAGGCATATTCAAAGAAAATGTAACTTCCCGGGAGAGGGGTAACTAAACCAGTTCAGCTTTTTTTTTTACTAACATTTTCGAAGTAAATTGGTATCATACTGAGAAAACCTCATCAACATGTAATAGTTCTAAAAAACATATATGCAGTCTACGCCAATAAAGAGCTAATTCGATTTACCGTCAAATAAACACAGTGCCCTGCGTTCCTGCATTTCCTCCCGAACCTATAAACCAAACCTAAAGTAATGATTATATGCGAGCCAAATCATCGCAATAGCCTACAATAAATCGTAACATTATCTCCAAAATCTTGCTTCACACGCCCTACAAAAATGTAAATTCCGTGAAATAACACAATAACAAAAATAATGGATGCAACTGGATGTGCAGCGGATGCGTGTGAGTAATCATTCGACTTGTAAGCCTGTATGTGATCCATAATCAGCAATAATCTCCAATCGTCTGAAATTCGTTTCGGTGTCCCCTTCTCAGCACCAAGAAACATGCAAAATAAGCAAATACAGCGGTGGAAATGCTCTATTTTCCGCCACGCTCTCAAACATTACTGCCCGCTTATTCCCGTTCCCAGAATAATGCAAAATCAAATAAAACAAAACAAAACAAAAATGCAGACCAACCACCTATCTCCTCTCATATAACCCTCAATTTATTTTTTCTTTTTTTATAGCTACAATCCATAGTCTGATTTACGACCTTTCGATACGATCATTCGGGCATAACGAGCTCTCCACGTCGCCGTAATTCGTAGAGTGGACGGCATCAAGCGCAGCCTCTGTCGTTCCATCTCGCCTGTCACCGTCCCTCCGGACACCAAGCCAAAAATCCTCCAAAAAATGCTCAAAATTACCAGCAAAATATCAGTATCCTAACACCAATCCAAAATTTATGGATACAAATTCGCGATTTTTGTAAGTGGATTATAAGTAGTGAGGATATGTATGTCTGGGAATTATACAGTTAAGGCCCCGTGATGATAATTATATGTATATGGTATTTGCTGACATGTATAACATTAAAGTAACTCTTTGTCTAGCCACTTATTTTTCATTACTATTTCATTGCGCCTACATTTTCGAGTCTTCATCTCTATCTCTTTACAAACATATTTCGATATCACACAACGTGAATCAAAACGCCAACACACAGGGTCAAGCTTGCCACAGATCAAGAAAAAAAAAAACGAAAAAGAAAAAAAACAAGAAACACTAACTAAACGAAAAATCCTAATTAAGATAAACCAACAAAACAAACAAGCTCACACAACGAAAAAAAGAAACACAAAAAAAACGAGAAGGAATCACCAGTTCGGCCGCACTTGGAGCCGGGCCAGACGAGGCGAGCCACGGCAGCGCACTCGACGATCTCGGGGTAAATAAACATTCTCAAACGATATATACATAATTAAGTAGCAGAGGCAGGGCACTTGAGACCCCTGGAGAACCCACTCTAATCAACGCCACATCAACGAGAGCTGTGTGCTTTTTTTAATCCTTGCAAGCTAATTCAGCAAGATCGGGCTTGTACAGCATTTGGATTTTTTTTTCTACAGTTTATGTTACAATTATACTTTTTACAGCAAGAAAGTATTGAAACACACCTACATACACGAAGTAAGAATTGAGCACATATAGAATAATTGAGTAAAGACAAAACCCAAAAGAAAAAATGAAAAGGCAAAGAGTTCGTGGCCGGTATACACCCTTCTTGGCAGAGTAATGATTGAAAGACTAAGGAAAGACAGACGCTCAGAGAGAACTCCAGACTGCGATGACTGGTATTGCGGGGTCGAGAAAGAAGGTTAAGCCTTGGTCTCAAATAGCTCTGGAGTTTCTACCGTTTTGGGTGGATTATTTGTTTATATCTCGTCTATTCACTTATCCATCTATCTATCCATCTTTATACTTTCATATCTACTCTTTGTGCAGCAACTTATTTTTTTCATTATAAGAAAGAGGGAGAGGGAGAGGGAGAGGAGAGTGGGAGAGGGAGTGGGAGAGGGAGAGGGGAGAGGGGAGGGAGGGCGAGGGAGAGGGAGAGGGAGAGAGAGAGGGAGAGGAAGAGGGAGAGGGAGAGAGAGAGGGAGAGGGAGAGGGAGAGGGAGAGAGAGAAAGAGAGGGAGAGGGAGAGGGAGAGGGAGAGGGAGAGGGAGGGAGAGAGAGGGAGGGAGGGAGGGAGGGAGACAGAGAGAGAGAGAGAGAGAGAGAGAGAGAGAGAGAGAGAGAGAGAGAGAGAGAGAGAGAGAGAGAGAGAGAGAGAGAGAGAGAGAGAGAGAGAGAGAGAGAGGGAGGGAGGGAGCACCTAACGACAAGAAGCAATTCCTTGTGGAGATGACTAGGAGGATTATTAAGATGATTTCCGACTTCCTTAGCCTCTCCCGCGCCGAGATGTGAGCCGCCAGATGAGCCACCCAGGCAGCAGGAGCAAAACACGGGCGGGGTAATTAGTCCTTTGTAGAGCCGGGAGAAACTGCCCTTATGTCACAGCGCCAGAACAGGATTAAATATTTTTCTGGGTTTAGAAGAGAATTCTATTGTTGAAACTCCGCGCCTCCGGGACATATCGCGATTTATACTTATTCTTAAAAAAATAGTGCAGAAACGGGCAAATCTC